CAACAGAGTATGAAAATTATCCAACAATATCACTAATAGCATACAAAAGCAAAACCCTGCTAAACATTATCCAAACATGACTGGAACAGTACATCAGCAGATATCTGCCAGAAGTACAAATCGAGTTTAGAAGAGGCCATGACACTTAGGGATATCATAGCCAATATCAGATGGATCTTAGCTAAAAACAGAGGATTGTTTATCAGTATTTCATTGACTATGAAAAGGCATTTGACTCTGTGTACCACAACAAATTGTAGCTAACCTTGAAAAGAATGGTAGTCCCAGAACTCTAAATTTTGCTCATGAAAAATATACTTAGACCAGGAAGTAGTCATCAGAACAGAGCAAGGAAACACTACATGGTTCAAAATCAGAAAATGAGTGTGTCAGGGATGCATCCTATCCCCATACCTTTTCCATCTGTGTGCTCAATATAACATTTGGGCACCAGTACTTTATGAGGAGGAATGTGGCATCAGGATTGGAGGAAAACTCAACAACTTGTATATACAGATGACAAACATCCTTGCTGAAACTGAGGAGGACCTGAAGTGCTTGCTGCAGAAGGTTAAGGACGGCAGTCTCCAATATAGATTTAATCTCAACATCAGAAAAACAGATTCTCACTACTAGGCCAGTTGGCAACACCATAATAGATGGAGAGGAGACTGAGGTTGTTAACAATTTCTGCTTGCTTGACTCCACAATCTGCACTCTTGGCACCACTGTCAGGAAATTAAAAAAAAAAAGTAAATTTCATTGGGTAAATCTACTGTCAGGGATCTTTAGAGTGCTGAAGATCAATGATGTCAATTGAGACTAAGGTGTACCTGGTTTAGGCCATGGTCTTCAAAATTACTTGGTATGTATCAGAGAGCTGGACAGTGACTAGGGAAGATTGAAGAAAAATGGATGCTTTTGAGTTTTGCTGGAGAAGAAATTGAACATACCATGGACAGACAGCCAAGAGCACAGGTCTGTCCTGGAGGGGCTGAAACAAGGTTGCTCTCTGGAGGCAAGGATTTTGAAACTGCCTCATATACTTTGGCCTGTTACCAGGAGGGACCAGTCCTTGGAAAAGAATATTATGCTTGGAAGGGTGGAGAGTCAGTACAGGATCCCTGATGAGATGGATTGACACAATAACTGAGGTAGCAGTGCATAGGATCACAACAGGTTACATTTTATGTTGGAAATTGGATGCCATTCTTCAATTAGGACAGCTTCTCACCCATGCTTGCAGGTACTTACCAAAGCCTGGAAATTGCCTTTTGAATTGGCAGTTGGACTTTTTATGCCAGCTTTCAATATCAAGAAAGTATTATAAAGCTCTTCGGTGTGATGGCTGTGGCATCTCACTGACTCCTCTGTACCCACTGCAGTCCTCCAGCCAGTTTAGACTTGGACAAAGGCCCCTTTCTCAGGCTTTGAACCAATAGTCTCAGGTTGCTGCTATTGTTACTCTCTGATCCAAATGTATACACTGTTTTTGCTTTTGGTAGATAGTCTGTAAGGAGGTTGTCACTTCCTGGCGGTCCATATCTTCCAGTAACTCCAAGAGCATCACCTTGTTTTCCTTTTCAGTTTACAGCTTCAGAAACCCACTGGAGGATCAGCTATGAGTTGATTTCAAGTTGATGACAATAAAATTTTTCCCTTCTTACTGGTAATGAAATTTCCATCCTCTGCTTCCAAGGTTCAGATCTGTTGTTGCTGTGAATCATAGATGACTTGATGGCACTTAACAACAACAAAGCTGCCTCAACTTAATTCTGGTAGGATGGCAAGGCTCACGAGTCTCCTTATTAATAGTTTACATGCCCTGTTTGAATATTTCCATCCAAAAGGTACGATTCTGCATTTAGCTGACCTGTTGGTGTTGAGCATGTTTTCCAAATCTGATGGTTGCGTTTTTTGTAAAACCAACACAAAACAGACGAAGCAAATAACCGTGGGTAGTCTTGACATCAGCATGAGCTTTAATCATGGTCTGTCATTTTTTTGGCCATGGAGCACATTTTGTCACGAGTAAGATCCATGCCATGGAAGTTGGTGAGGCAGTTTTTGCCTTGAATGCCCTCTCAGTAATTAGCTTGAATTTTCTAAATGACGCCTCATCGTTTTGCAAATCAGCAAGGCTCACTTCAAAAATACGACCCTTGAATCTATCAGATGTAATTTTGGTTCCTTGTGACTAGTGTCTTCCCAATATTTCTTATATTGAACATAGCTAGAGCCTTTGCATCATACCAATTTTTCTTAGAAAATGCATCAACCACTTTCTTCTTGGCTCCTTGATGGAAATCATCACCCGAGAGGTGCAGACAAATGAAAGACATGGTCAATAAATTTGTTCCAGACAGCATTGAGAAAGACATAGAAAAGCCTTGTCTGTTTATCCTCTCTATGGTACATTTGTTAGAAAATTAAAAAAGACGAAGAAACCCAAGTTTGAATTGGGCAAACTCATGGAGCTTCATGGTGAAAGTGGTAGCTCTGGAAAAGCTACTGGAAATGAGACAGGTGCTAAAGTTGAACGAGCTGATGGCTATGAGCCACCAGTTCAAGAATCTGTTTAAAATTCAGACTTTTAATAATGACAAATAAAAATTAATATTTGTAAAAAATCCCAAAAGGTACCATTCATCTCATTCATGTCATTAGCATTGCCCCACCCATGTGGTGAAAGTCAAAGCCAATAGTCTAGGAAAGTAAATTTTTTATAAAAAATGTTTTAAAATTTTTTTCCATTGTTGCACATTTTTTGCCCATCTCTCTTACATCCCTCAGCCCTCCCCATATTGTGCCCCTCTCTTCAGATTGTTGTCATAGTTAGATGTATGACATATATAAGCATATATTCCTTTCAGACACTTCTTTCCCTCATCTGATCTAATGTAGTATTTATTATCTGTCCACTCTTTCCTCATTCCCTCCCTAACTCCCCACCATGTCGGTCATATTTTATTCCACTGGTGTTATTCAATATTTGTTCTTTTGTGACAGATATTTTACCCAGCATAATGTCCTCTAGGCTCCCCCATGTTGTGTAATGTATTATGAGTTCATTGTTTTTCAATGCTGTGTAACATTCCATTGTGTAAATGTACCTTGGTTTTACTATTCATTCGTTGATGGGCACTTGGGTTGCTTCCATCTCTTTGCTATTGTAAATAACACAGCAATAAACATGGGTGTACATACATCTGTTTGAACTGTGGCTCCGCTTTCTTTGGAGTATATTCCCAGTAGTGGAATTGCTGAGTCAAATGGTATTTCTACTTCCAGCTTTTTGAGAAAGTGCCAGACCACTTTCCATAGTGGCTGTACCATTTTACACTCCTACCAACAGTGAATAATAGTTTCTCCACAGCCTCGCCAGTATTTCCTGTTTGCTGGCCAGTTGAACTTTGCTATTGTTGCTGGGGTTGTTTTTGTTCTTGTTGTTAGGTGCAGTTGAGTCAAACACAACATAACGACCCTATGAACAAAAGATCTGAACCCTGTTCTGTCCCACACCATCCTCACATTTCCTGATGTACAAAGGCCATTGTAGCAGTCATCATGTCAGTCCACCTAGTTGAGGGTCTTCTCCTTTGCCAACCCTCCACTTTTCCCAATGTCATGGGAATAGCCCTTCCTAGCAATATGTCCAAAGTATGTGAGGTGAAGCCTCATCATTCTTGCCTCCAAAGAGGACTCTTGCTGCACCATCTCCAATATCTGTTCATTTTCTTGGCTGCCCATGGGATGTTCAGTGCTCTTCTCCAACACCACAGGTCAATGGCCTCAATTCTTTTTCTGTCTTCCTTATTCATTATCCAGGTCTTAAACACATAGCTAATAATGTTGCTGGGGCAGGAAAGTAATTTTGAACATTTAACCCACTCTGTACCACAGTAATCTTACCTACTTCTGGCATGTTATTAGGGGAAGCCAATCCCTAGAGAAAAACATTTTTTATAAAGTAAGTGGTCAGAGAGAGACCCAAACCAAGATGGATTGACACAAGGCCTGCAGCAATTGTGATGATGGTGCAGGATTGGGCACTGTTTTTTCTCTTCACAGACTGACTCTGTAGCTACATGAAGAAAAAAATTTTTTAAAGGGGTTTTTTCCTTTCACATAGCAATATATTTCCATTAAATAAAACTAGATAGAGAAAACCATGAGTGAAAAGTTAAGCATATATTTGTGTGCTCTGTATGATTTTTAAAACAAAATTAGATATTATTTATATAATAGTAATTTTTTAAAAACAATTTTATTTTCCTTGTTGACCAAATTTTTAGGAACACATGATTCTAATGATCTGCCTACATTCATTCTAGGTATATATTATAGATGAGCTGTCATTAACTTTTTGCCAGTTTCTTTCTTGCTAATGATCAGGGAGTGTCTAATTTTCCACTATTAAAAATAACATTTCACTGTGTATATCCTTGGGCATTATTTTTGTGTACATCTAGAATTCATTTACAGGAAATAATTCTAAGAAAATAACTGAGTCATAGAGTAGGAACATTTTCCTGTATTTTAGAAAAAAAAAATCATGACCTGTAATAGTGTATGCTAACATGTATTTCTTCAGACCTTTATCAACTGATTATTATTATATTTAATTGCCATATGATACCTAGTTGATCTTTATCAAAATACCTACTTAGTTATTTATATTTACATTTTATTGCTAAAGTGACTTAGAGAACACTGGGAGCATAGTATAAAAGGAGTTGCTCTGCCTACTTAAAATCTATACCTTACTCGCACTTGAATCCTCCAGCGTCTCATTGGGAGAAAGATGGGTAATTTGCACAATGCACAACCTCAAAACCCCAGTGTGGGTCAGCTGTGTGTCTCTATCAACTCAACAGTGAATGAGTGAATATGGCTTAATTCTGCCACATCTATTGCTTATTTTTTAAAATCTTTTTTATGTTTATTTTGATTTAACCTGTTTCAAAAATTAGTTTTCCATCTTTCAGAAATATCGAATGATGTCATCTGAAACGTTACCAGCCTTTATTGAGACTTCCAATGTTGAAAGAAAGCAAATCTTAGATGAAAATAAAGAAGAGAGCCAGAAGCCAGAATCAAGTAAAGCATGTGAATCCATATCTAAGAGGCAGATGAAGAAACTAATAAAACAAAAACAATGGGAAGAACAGCGAGAACTCCGCAAGTATGTATTTCAGAATGCTGCTCAGAAACATGGAATATCAGATTTTGCATAAACCCTTTGGCACATTAAGTATAGTTTTGTTAGTTAAAATCGGAGCTATACTGGTTGCTAGCAGACACTGCCAAATCACTTTTAAACTGCTTGTGTTTTTATTACTGCTGTGTTTAACAGCATTGATGAATTGGCGCTGAATATTTTTCTTACTTAGACTTAAATAGTACCAGCATTTTTAAACTTCCTGTTTAGATAAAAAATTTATTTGATATCCATGCCTTAGGATAGGACAAAAATAACAACTCATATAAATAAAATTTAGCCATACCATTGTAAGCTTTGATGAGGAAAGCATGGCTGAAGCCATCATATCATTATTTTGTAATTTTATTTTATAAATTTATTGGATGAAGATAAACCTAAGTAGATATAGGCTAGATAAAAAGTGAGTAAGATTTCTTTTCAACACACAGGTTAATTTTTCTTTTTTATATGATGTAAACATTGCATAAAACAATATTGGAGACAGATAATGAAAAAAATTGATCATATTTCTCTGATTTGGTATTTTTTAAAAAAAACTTTTTTAGATTTTATTTTATTATTTTTTGTGCTTATACCGTCAAGTCGGATCTGACTGGTACAGGAGGATACTGCCCCTCCTTCTCCAGCAGAGCATCTGGTGGACTCAAACGCTACCTCTGGGATTGCAGTGCAGCTTCTTGCCAGTAGGCCACCAGAGCTCCCTCAGATTCAGTATTTTTTACATTTTTTTTTTTTAGAATACATTATGTCATACCAAGGATAAACTGAAACTGTTAAGTAGTAAAATAGTATTTAGATAGAAAACTTTAGTTGTTTAGAAAATCCATTTCATTGTCATTTCATATTTCTGGATGAATAAAATTGGCAATATTTGACACCAGGTCGATACTTTTAACTTACTGACTTGTAAAAGTAATTGTATGTTTATTTAGAAGAGTCTTGTAAAAATCTGATTATATAAATGATAACATAAAATTATCTCAATTACTAATTTTAGACAAAAGCGAAAAGAAAAACGTAAGAGAAAAAAATTAGAGCGGCAAAGTCAACTGGAATCAAATTCTGATGGAAATGACAGAAAACGTATTCGAAGAGATGTTGTTCACAGCACACTACGCCTTGTTATTGACTGTAGTTTTGATGACTTGATGGTATTAAAGGTATCTTAAATCATTTTTACAAAATTATATTGGTGAACTAGGTTTAATCATTCTTCCCTTGGTATATAACTTGAAGTTAAGGTATTAGAGTGCATTACAAATCAATTTTTTAAAAATCTTTTCTGCCTCCAAATTAACATATGGATTATTTCCGTTTTAATTTATATTTTATGTATATATTTATGAAGAGAGATTCTCCATAATTGAACTCTAAAACCCAGCAACCTCATTTTTATCGTAAAGATTTTGAATTTTTTCTTTTTCAAGGGAAAAGTTTATCTAATAGAATAGTAGAGAACATTCATCTAATATACTTATTTTTTTACTCAGTAGTTTGAAACATACATGCTCTAATTATTTTTTATAGTAAATTATCTAATTATAAATTTTCTTAAAATTTTAAGCTATATAAGTCATGGAAATAATAATAGGATGATTTGATTCTAGAAACATTTTCTTTCCCCCTACATTTATTCTTCAATAGAGTGGATTTTCATGAACTAGTATTTAAAATAGATAAAAAATAGAAAATAGTTGATCACCTACAGGATGTTGGGTGTCCTTGGATGTTGAAAATGGTTCATATATTTGCCTGCTAACTGAAGGGTTGGCAGTTCAAATCCACCTAGATCCCTATTGGAAGAAAGGCCTGACAGTCTACCTTGGGAAAACCATCAAGTAAAAACTTATGGAACATAGTTCTGTTCTCATCTACACATGGTTGCCATTGTTGGAACCAGTTCAATTGCAACTAGTTTTACAGAATACTATACTAGTTATTTTGTTAGTGTGTAAGGAAATTGAAAATGATGAGGATGGATTTGCATTTCAATAGAATTGTTCTTATTTAGTCACCCTTTCAACTTGCTTGGTTTCATCAAAATTGGAGAAGGGCCCTGCATGGATTACTTTGTTAATTCTACTTTAAATATGAAATGTACTCTTCTAGGACATTAAGAAACTTCATAAGCAGATTCAACGATGTTATGCAGAAAACCGACGTGCTTTACATCCTGTGCAGGTATATATAAAGAGCATAAAATTTCTATCATAGATTTTTTTTATGTGGTCAAAGAATGTTATTGGTTTATTTTTATATATACAAAACATGTCATAAAATTTTCCTTGATCACTGAGAATGAACATATTTCATGTTTCATTGAGCACATGAGAGTATTAGAAAATAAAATATTGGACCTAACTAGACATTTTCTTTTGTCTTTTTGATGACTACCAATCACCAGTTTTATTTGACAAGTCATGGAGGCCAGCTGAAAAAAAACATGGATGAAAATGACAAAGGATGGGTCAACTGGAAGGTAATTAAAACAGTTTGTCCCCTAATTCCAGTTGCTATGCTTATAAAAATGCATTTTTCCTAAATTTTGCATAATGCTGTTGAATATAGGAGTAAGACGTCTTGAAGCTTTGTGGATCACTGGTATTGAAGAAGTTAAAGAAGAGAAAAAGTTTGTCTTGTTTGTTGGCTTTTCTGTAATTGCTAGTATTAAATTTCACCTTCTATTTTACTGCCAATCAATAAACATATTTAAAAGTAGAATAATTTTAAAGACCTGCATAGTCTCACTCTAGCAAATTGACAATACTCTGTAAGAGTAGACTTTGAAATTTAAAGGTATACCTACACTCTCTTTTTTCTTCTAAATATGCATTGCCTTTCATGGTGAGCACTAACTCCATGTCACTATTGAATCTTAATGCAACAATGAATGAATGGAAATCCAAATCTCTGTAAATGTTCATTAAATTTAATTTTAAAAAAAGATGTATTGGATTCCAAATACCTAGACTGAAGTTTAATTGTACTTGGATCCACAATCAACCCTTGGTACCAGCAGTTAAGAGATCAAAAGACATGTTGCATTGGGAAAATCTGCTGTCAGAGACCTCTCCAAAGTGCTAAGGAGTAGTGGTGTCAGTTTAAATATTAAGATACACCTGATTGAAGTCATGGCCTCTTCAGTTACTTGCTGCGCATTTGGAAGTTGGACAGTGAATAAGGGTGGCAGAAAACTTGATGTCTTTTAGTTATGGTGTTGGGAAAAAATACTGAATATTCATTCCATGGACTGTAGAAAGTAAACAAATATATCTTGGAGACAGTTCAACCAGGGTGCTCTTTAGCAGTAAGTGGTGAAACTTTTCTCTCATACTTTGAGCATGTTGTTAGGAGGAACTGTTTCTTGG